TTATTACTTGAAGTGATTTGGGTATACTGTATGATCTATAAATAATCGCTCACACCAGACAGGATGTTAATTATATAATGCAGTGATTTAGAAATAATACATTATTTAGCATTTCCTTAAATTGTTTCAACCTCCTGTTAATACCCTGCCATAAATGGAGTGAAATTGATGACTTTTGAGAATTCATTTGGTGCAGTTCAACAGTCATTTGAAAATCCAATCTAGCTTAACATTACATGTGTTCCATGTAAACCCAACAATAAAAGCGAACCCTTTAGTTCTCTGTACCTTGCTTGTCCTGCCTGCCTTCCTGGTACTACTGCCTGAGTACCACAGCACCTCACTGGACTAGTAGGTTTCTCATTAAAGGATAGACCTTTAAGACCAGAGGGAGATCTATTTATGGCCGGCCCCTGGATATCATTTGCTAAAAATTTTAAATTCGTAATACTGATCTGGAAATGCTCTCAGATAACGTTTTGAAGTGTTATTTTAAGTTACTGGAAAATCAGCACCACCATAAGATATCACCTCACATCCGTCAGAATGGCCATTATCAATAATCAACAAACAGCAAACGCTGGAGAGGATGTGGTGAAAAGGGAACCCTCACGAACTGTTGGTGAGAACGTAAACTGGTGCAGCCACTATGGGAAACGGTATGGAGGTTCCTCAAAAAATTAAAAATAGAACTACCTTACGACCTACTTATTGGTACATATCTCAAGGAAGCAAAGCCAATATCTTGAAGAAATAACTCCACTCCTGTGTTCAGTGCAGCATTATTCACAATAGCCAAGGTGTGGAAACAACCTAAGTGTCCGTCAAGGGATAAATAGATAAAGAAAATGTGGTGTATATACACAATGGAATATTATTCAGTCTCAAAAGAGCAAAAATCCTATCATTTGTGATAACATGGATAAGTCTGTAGGGCATTAAGCTAAGGAAATAAGCCAGACGGAGAAAAACACATTCTGTATGATATCACGTATATGTGGAATCTTAAAAAAAAGTCAAACTCATAGAAACAGACAGAAAAGTGGTTGCCAGGGCCTGGGGACATGAGGCTGCGGGCGGAGAGAGGTTGGTAAAAGGGTACAAACTCTCAGTTATAAGATTCACAAGATCTGAGAATCTAATGTATAACATGGTACCTATAGTTGATAACACTGTAGTGTATAACTGAAATCTTACCAAAACACAACACAACACGACAAGCAAAACAAAATGGGTAAATGTGTGAGGTGATGGATGTGTTAATTAACTCAATGGCAGAAATCTTTTCACAATGTATTATATATTATATACATACACATACATATAACAAATCATCATGTTGGACACTTTAAATATCTTATAATTTCATTTGTCAATTATACCTCAATAAAGCTGGGAAAAAAAGGTTATTGGGTCTCCTTAGAATTATTCCAGGTTTTAAGAACAAATGATTTATCCTATTAATCATAATTTCCACAATTACATAAATTTGAAATTATAAGCCAAAATAAAATTATAAAATATTTATATTACTGATTAACATTTAAATCCACTATAAAGTCTGAAATTTATTCAAGAAATATTGGGTGGAGAGGGAAAGGAGCCCAGTGGATAAATTAAGGTTAAACTACACATTTGGCCTTTTATTCATACATGGAGGTAGTAAAAACCTTATTGTGTGACATTTATGTAACCAGAGACAGCAGGTTTCTAAAGTATCGCAAGCTACTTACAGAATCTTGATGTCACTTTTCTAACAACTCCAGGAATTTTGAGAAGAGTAGTGCCTATTAAGAAAGCACTTTGGGATAGTTTCTTAGTGTTTAGAACTCTATTTTTCTACCAATTTTGATGTGTAAGGAAAACAAATGGCTATTTTTGCCAAAAATAAATAAATAAATAAAGCTTCCTTAGAACTAAGAATATGATTCCTATATATATATGTTTGATAAGCAATGCAAGAGTAATTATAGTAATGTCAAGTTCAGTGAAAAGATACAGTGATTTTGTTTTGTTTTTAAATAAAAACTCCCATCAGTTTCCACTGGATGTTCTGCTCAGAAACATGTTATAACTCTCGGCCATTATAAACCACCTTTAATATCATCGAGCCGACTTAACAGGCTCATGTAAATTATGGTTTGGTTAAAGAGGTTCAAAACAGTATTAAAACATTTTCAAGCTTTACATGTTACCTATTTGTCCCTTAACACAAACTGACAAGACATAATTTTTTTTAAAGCCTCCCACACAAATGATTAAAACTAAATCTCTCCCCTTTTCAGTACACTCAAATCTACACGTGGGATTTTCAAAACAAATAGATTTTTCAACCACCAAACATTTAACCATTCAAAATCAAAAATTTTCATGAGCACCTCTCAAAGTTGAATCCATTAAGCAATTATGCATCAATGTCACTGAGAAAAAGCAGCTTGAATTTATGCACTAATACTATGCACTTATTATTCTGATTTTTATTAACTCTAATTTTTACAGAGTGCAATTTCTTTCATCCTTGGGACTCAGCTTATTTACAGAGTGAACCACACAGTAGTTCTAGGTAGTATTTGGCTCAGCTAAAATGTTATGTCAAAATGGACACAATGCTCCAATTTTAAATTTAGAAGTATTTTTAGCTTTTGATTTTAAGTTTTAAGATAAAAGTTCTTGCCCCATATAGTGCTAACTAGAATTCTTTTTCAATTCCTCCCTCTTCTCAAAAAAATCAACAAAGAAATTAGCTAACTAAACCTGTGAGAAGCAATTGGGAAATAATTCGCAAAAAGTGAATGTTTTAAGTTTCACATAAAAATGCTACCTCACTCAAAGTATTTGGAAATCAAGAAATCCCATGTGTTAAGTAAGTGAAATAAATGCCTTTAGTCAGTTTAGTGTTTGTAACAAACTGACATCAATAAAAAGACTTTCTGAAGAGCTTAATCTAAAAGGGCAGGGACTACACTACTCTCACCTATATGCCCAGTGTTATGAATTAGGAGCTCAGCAGATGCTGGATGGGTGTCTATGACCCCGGCGCCAGAATACAGTTGAGGCCTCCTGCATTAACAAGGAATCTAGAAAGGATCATTTGGTGAGGTTAATGCCATTTCCTATCTAGTTTCAAACAGGCATGAGTTCACCAGCAGAGGTGATTAATACTGATCCTGTTGGGTGGCAAATTAGCCTTGTAAGTAAAATGGTAGCAATTTTGTCACCCAGAGAAAAGTAAGGGTGACTTCAGAAACATCTTTCTAAGGTCAATGACTCACCACCAACTGGCAGACTACACATTAGCTTATGGAAGGATGAAAAAGAGTAAAAAAGGCAGATCTTAATGCCTACTTGGCCTTGAAGCCAAGGAAAGAGATATATAAAAGATGCTAACTTTATAAAATTACCAACTACTGAGCTTCTCAAAGTAAGATCTGTGGAGCAGGTCACATCTATGATCTGCTGTCACTAGCCCACAGGAGGTAAGTACAGACACTGAGAATAAGCATTTAGAAGGAACAATTTGACAATAATTTTTGTATCTGTTGAATCCAATATTATCTATATACATATACATACACATATATATAATCTTGTATTTTGCATATCTGTTCTTTTTCCTTTCGCTTTTCTAGTAAATGGTTTTACCATAGTTTACAAGAAGGAGCAGTCCAGAATAAATTGGAAATTAAAAAAAAAAAGGTCCAGATCAGAGCACTCAAAATAAAGTTTTGTATGGACAGAGAATGCATTATGATTGCAAGGATATTGACTTACCTGTACTGTCTCTTAAATTACTTGAATATTAAAATTTTTCAGAAGTAGGTAATTGTGCCCATGTGTAATACACTAAGCTCCTCTGATTAACATCTGAATTAATCTAGAGATATTTGAATTTCAGGCTAATGAGATATCATATAATCAAAACTGTTCCAAGGAACAGAGATATTAACATGATTCCCTTGGAAAAGGAGAGTTCTGTGGTCAAACAAGTTTGGGATATACCCTCCATCCCACAGCCTCCTCCTGGGAAGGCATAATACATATCGGCACACTAAGAGTCCTGAGAAGAAAAGTGTGTAACTGCGCAGATGTGATCTTCTTTATCTAAACACATATCTTGTTTGGGAATTACAATTTTGAAAATGCTGGTATAGTCCCAAAGACTCCAGATCAGCAATCAGAAATGTCCCAAGTATCACTCAGTAGCTGTTTCTTGTCTTCATTTGTACATGGATCATGCTACTCCGTCCCCATACCACTGAGCCATAGCATCAGTGAGATAATGATGTAAAGTCACAGCATACAGAAAGTAAGCTCCTTAAGGATGAGAAATAGGCTCCCATCCTACAGCCCAATGCACATGAAGCGCTCAGCAGTTTCTGAGTTGTTCTCTAGGAAATGTTGCACCCCCTAAACCCCAGGATGCCTAATTCTGATGGCTGTTTTGTTGGCCATCCCTTGGAATTCTATCTTTGGAAGCCTCCTGTCCTCCAGTGTCCTGGCTGGTGTGGTGTGGCAGGTAACTGTGTCCCTTCCTTGAAAGTGCAGAAAAGTCCCAGAGGAGAGCCAGGAAGAAGCCCTGCACTTGGCAAACATCCCAGTTGGTGAGCATTATAAAAAAGAAATCATGTCAGGGCTTGATAGCATCTCTTTGCCACCTAACACCGTAATCCAGGTCCTATTCAACCTCTGGGTCCCCATTTCCACAATGAATAATAATACATTTTCTCTCAAAGAACTCTTATTTTTAAATTCAAAGGCAGCACCCAGAATTTGACCAACATCTACAAGGTCCCTTGGTCAGTGAAATGTAGGACAAGGAATTGGTTTCTGTACACATTCTTCCAACCACAAACCACGGGTCTTTGTTAAGGTCAAAATTATCATGAAACATTATTTGCATAGTACACAACGAGCTCAGTTTTGCAACTGTTACAAACATGAGCCACAATTTAAAATAATAAAAAAAAATAAAGAAATAAGGAACCATTCGTTTTACTCACTGTTCACATAAACGTTAAATGTCACGGAAGAATCAACATCAGAATTGGACACTAGAAATGTGTAAGTGCCTCCTTCCGTCCCTTTCAATCTGGTTAGGTGAAGTTCAGTTATATATCTACAAAGATATGGCAATAAATTAATCACCTATAGAAGGCCTGCCTCCAGTGCATGTCTTTTTCACAGTTTCTATCTGGAAACATGTATTTAGAGAAAATACAGCTCACTTAACTTAGTATTATCAAGATCCACATTAACAAACACAAATATACACACATATAATTAATTTGGGATAAATGCCTATCATGTGAGAATACTGAGTGGGAAAAGACTTTCTTGGCATAAAGGCCATTTCCCAGAGACTATAGCCTCTCCCTCCTCCTGTGCTGTCCTTAAGGCCACCTTCTCACCAGTGTCCTGAACTTGCCTGCCCACCTTTGCTTTGACATTGGCCTGGAAAAATCCCAGAGTGGCAGGCTGTCTCCATGCAGACATTGCAGAGCCCTCACAGCAAGGTCAGTACTGTTGCCCCCACCTTCCTTCTTGCAAGCAACACCACAATCTCTGGGATTTCCTCCTACCCCACTACTTCTTCTGAGTGTCCTTTGCAGTATTTGCTATTAAAGATTCTGTTTTACTGTAGGGCTGCCAGATACGGCTGTGTGGACTGAGCACGTAGGACTATTAGGGGAGTTACTAACATGGGCTCCAGTGTGGATGGCATATCCTGGGCAGCCCTCGACCCACAGGAGGTACACAACCAACTGGACATATGCATTGGTGTGTTAGACTCCTCTTGCACTGTACACACTCCCTGGGAAATCCACTCTTATACTCAAGTACTTGCTGTTTGTTCATACTTTCATATTTTTACCTCTACTCCAGACTTTTTTGTCTGTGCCTCCTCTATAGAGCTAGTTCCATGCCGCAATGCCTCCATGCAGGGGATGCAGCTAATAACAACTCACACCTGCAACCTTCTCCCATGTCTTGTCCTTGAGCACTTAAACCCACTTAGAAGCTGACTGTATGCCGGGTCTACAGCCAATGAATGACTGACCATGGGAAAAAAAGGCCCAGATCCAGAGCACCACTGGGATCAGACTATACCTCAGCTTCACCTCACCCACTTCCTTTCTTTCTTTTTTTGATCCCCAACTCTGGCAGGTCTCTTTCTGCTGTAATAAAGCCCTTATCCGAGAGCTCCTGCCTCAGGCTTTGCTTTTAGGGAACCCGACCTAGGATACTTCCTTCCCCCTTGAACATCTCCTCTTGAGAAGCCAAGGTCAACCTCAAATTCAACAAGCCCTAAACCTGTCCCCACCTCTTCTCCTTGAATGGTATCGTCTCTCATCGCCCAAACTGGCTGATGGACCCAAAACCCTAAGGGGCATCTTCAGCTCCTCCCTCTCTCTTCTTCCCCCTCAGTCACCAAGTCTTGGTAAGGGGGTAGCCTCCCAAATCCATCCTTGTCCCTCTAACCCTTAGACCTTGGCCCAGACCAATATCATCTCTAATTCACAGTCTTACAACAGCCAACGGCTCCTGACTGGAAAAATACACAAACTCTATCTAGGCACTTACCTCTTATTGGCCATTTGATCTGGGTCAAATTACTTAACTCAGTTTTATCTTCTATGGAGATAAATGGAGAAATGGAGAAATAAGAGTGCCCACTCATAAGGTTTGTGAAGACTAAAATTATTGAGTTAATATACAAAACGTACTTGGAACAGGGCAAGGCATCATAAAGTACACATGGCTTACATAAAGTGTTATTTATTACTATTATTTTTTGTTATGTTTTGAGGATGAAAGGAGAGGTCTGATGTAAAAGAGCTCATGTTCACAGCCTGCCCAAAGCTACTTAATGATTTACTTTTCTTGTAGTTTTAAAAAAAAGTGTTTAAAAATAACTATGTACAGTGTCAGACGGGTAGTAGATTTATCAAGGTGATCACTTCATAGGTTATTTGAATGTATGTTCACTATGTTGTACACCTGAAACTAATGTAATACTGTATGCCAATTGTAATTGAAAAATAAAAAAAATTTTTCATAAAAAAATTATTAAAGAGCACTAACTTTCTTCTTCCTCTGAAGAGAATTATTTGGTGTGTCCCTAGTACATGCCAGTCACTCCAGTCACTGCTTTGGAGTAACCTCAGAACTCTGGGAAAGAATAATCTCCATTTTACAAACGAGAAAACTGAGGCATGGATTTTTTTTGTGTGCCCTAAATACACAGCACAATGAAATGATGGGATGAAGACTCAGGAAGCAGTCCCAAACTTCCTTCCATTCCAAGGGTCCTCTTATACATTTATGGGTCACAGAAGGAGGATCTGGTAAGCCAAGTACAAGAGAGGGAAAATGTATAATCTCCAGAGGAAGGCCTTGTTCTTACCTGATATTACTTTCATTCTCATACTTGGGATAACTCTCCCACTTATCAGTGAAGGTTTTGTTCATATAAATCCACTGTAGGTGTTCAGGTTTCGGGTATGCCTCATATTCAACAACCAGATCTACATTAGCTCCATCATTTACAAATATTGTAGTATTTGCCACAGGGAAGATATTAATGAATCCTTTATCTAATCATAACAGAATAAAACAGAAAGAATCCATTATCCACAGCTACCAAGGAAAAATAAAACTTCTTTAGATGACAAAGATAACGAATTGATTTCTAGTATGAATTGGTAATAACAAGTAAGAATTTAAACTAGCCATCTGACATTTTATTTTGCTCTTGTAGAATCACTGTCATAAAGAAAGGACACACACTTGTAATGTTTATTCTATCTCTGTCTCTCGAACAACTCTCTTAAAAATCTATCACCATCTTATAAGTTTTCTAGAAGTACTAGCCTTGATGTTTATCAGGTTAAAAAGTATTTGGACTAAATAGTTAGCCCATACCCAGACTCAGTATTTGATAAGTGTATATTTATTTGTCATAAATATAGAAAAGAAAGCCATAAAAATGTTAAAAAGAATGTCTTTTAGTACCTGAAGAAAAATAAACTTAGGTCTCCTCATCATATTATTTACAGAGATGAATCAAGAACAGCATTTTAACAATCAAACCATATTTTTAACTAAACAGAACCGACTCCTATCAAACTTCTACAGAGGACGTAGTTTTCTAGGCTTTTTAGAAGCAACAGAAAAATGTCATAAAAGACAAATGTGAATACATAAACATTTTTAAATGTCTATATAGCAAAATTAAATAGGAAAAGACATAAAAATATAGAAGAAAAATATTTACACTAGTAATTAAAATAAGGGATCACTTTTCACTTATTAAAAATAGCATAACTTCAATAAAGCTCTTTCAAAAATAAAATATACCCATCCTATGGAAAAATTATAACAAAAGTAATCTGAAATAAACTCAATAAAGTGTGGTAAGAGTGGCACACTGAATGACACCCTGTAAATTGGCACAACTCTTAGAAAGCATTTAGTAATGTAGATTTTTCAAAATTATTATTCAATTTAACCCTGTAATTTCCATTTGAGAACTCTTCTTACCAAGGTAGATAGCTACATATAAAAGAGATGCTATTTACACTAGTTATAATAATTTTAAAAATAAGAAACCAGTTAAATAAAGTAGCCCTTAAATGATCATGTAATATAAACAGATATTGAAAAAGAACATTATAATTGCCAATATTACTTTTATAGCTACCATTTATGGAATATTTACTATGTGCCAAGAAGTGCCCTAAGTACTTTAGCATATATTTCATTTAATAATTATGACATATTTAATCTTAAAATACTGAAAGAGAAAACTTATAACTCCTAATTTATAGATTAAAACAATTAAATCCTGGAAGGCCATACAACTAGCTACCCAATGGCAGAGCCTAGGTTTTAACACAGGTCTATGAGAAGCCAAGGCCGATCTCTTCTTACTGTAGCATATCCTAGAGTCTCTATATCCTTTCAGTTAGAAAAAAGAGAGATCAATCAAGGGAGGAAGAGAGAGAAGGTGGAATTATAAATAAGTTTCAATTTTATTGTTCTATTTTTTCAAATTTTAAAGATTATGAAATTTAAAATTATCATTCATTGTCTTTAGTGCTATTTGGTTAAATATGTCAAAGCCCCACATGACGTTGTCAAGATAGTATTTACTGACCTTTGTTTCCTCTAGATTCAGAATAGAAAATGGACTTCACCTGTCTTTTGTATGAATTGAAAAGGGATTTTTCAGGTGAGAATGGAAAATCATCCAAATGAAAATTGGATAGAGAAACCGCCACCTGTTCTAATACCTGAATCATAAATACCTGTAATTCTTTATGCTAATTTGGGTTATTCTGAGGGAACAAATGTTTCATCTGAATGCTACATTAAATTTTCAGGTTCTCAAGGTTATAAATTCTAACCACACAACGCAAAATATTTTGTGGAATCATTTCTCTCACAGTCACCATGTATAAAATATTTGTTTTAAGTTCCCCCTGAGCTTTCTATAATCTAGTTTGCTCAATATAGTTTTATGTCCTATAGTGGAACAGAGCTTCAAATTTATGAAGTATAAGAATTATTAGAATCAAAGAACTCCATCTAGGTTGTTATACCATAAAGTTGATTTTTTTCAAATACTTCTGCATTAAGAAATTGGTGGTGCATTCACATTTAATCAAGTACAAACACTATGCCAGGCACTTCTATAAAATCTACTGACTTTTCTCCCTTCCATCATCTTGGGAGGTTGAGGTTTTGTGTCTCAGAAGAGAAAATGCAGGTAGATTTGAAGTAGGGTGCATTCGCAAGTTAAGTGGCAGAGTCCCAACTCAAAACCAAGTCGAGGCCATCCTAAAGTCCTGTTCCATTACTCCCCATCATATCCAAATCCTACTCCCAGCTCCTAAAGAAATCACTTTTCTCTGTGTATCTTCCTGTTCTTGTTCCATCCCAACCCACTCTCAAAACAATCCAAAACCAGATTCAGGTTTCTCAGCCACAAGTCTTGCCAGTTATACAGTTATATTCTTGGAAATTGATGAATGGATTTTAAAAATCTGATTACATACAACGATATGCTCAAAACATCCTTACTAATTGCTTTCTGGAGCTGAAGCTGATATATCAACATGATCCCTAATCAACTTAGCAAATTAGCACTTATGGAGTTTAATATTTTAAAAGCATAGCCTTCTCCTCAAATTAATAAATGGTTCACAATCACGTTTAGGGACAGAGTACTCTTTCTCTGTGCTGACTCTGTAACTGCAAGTAAAGTGTATTTTTCATGTTTAGTCTGGTGAAATACTTTCCACTACAACATGGGCAGAAACATCAAAATTATATGAGATTATCGTGAGATAAATCACAGACCTCTAACATCGTTACATAAATTATTAAAGAAATATGGGGAAAGGAGAGAAATGAAAACAAATATGGCATCATTTTATTATTGCTCATGATGAAGAATTTCTCCACCTACAAGCACTTAATCAAAGTCAAGCATTAGGAATAGGGTTGCATTAAAAAGACAAGACAAGAAATTAAATTCAAACAATACTCGGAAGAAAAAAAAAGTGTAAATGAAGTAATTTAAAATCATTATTATTTTCTGTAAATCAAAAGCTTCAAATATTTCACTACACTCTTTAAGTAGACGCTTAGAAAACAAATACTTAGGGAAATTTCTAGAGTAGAGAAGAAAAGGCTAAACCAGTGTATATACCGGAGATGATGGGGTTAAGGGCACAGGTTACCATGTTCCAGTTTATGCTGTAAACTGCAGAACCAGTGACCCATGGCTCTATGGACCTCCTTCCTGAAGGTTCATGCTACAGCCTATAAGGTTGGAGGACAGGGTGAGGTGGGATGGGGAGGAGAAGTCCAATTCACCCCTTCCAGCTACAAAGCTAGAACCATGAGCGGTAAAACAATAAACCAAAAGGCTGAGGAGCCCCACCTAAAGATTCAGAGAAATATTTTAGGCTCTAAACATTCAAGCTCCTCAAGAGAGAAATTCTACATCTCTTTCCAAATTCAAGTCATTCAGCAAGAACTAGAATTTCTGGAAAAGCTCAACTTGTATTTTATTTGTTTCGTGGCGAAGGGAGGGTGAGTAGCACAGAATATGAAAGGTTTGAATAAATTCAATTACAGCTTTCCACTTCTCTCTATTAAACTGGTAGAATTTGCTTTTGTGCTCTAGTTAGAAGAGGCCACAATGATAATTTTATTCATTCATTCATTCATTCATTCACTCATTCAGTCAGTCGGTCATGATAAAAATTTCAAAGATTCTGTTCAACATTCCATTTATGTAAAAAGGAAACTATAGAGTAATTCCTTCTTTCACTACTGCCAGTAATTGATAATTCCCTTAGAGATATTTACCTACTACTTCCAAGGTTGTTGTGACATTTGCTGATCCAAAAGTATTATTGGCATAACACATGAACACTCCAGAATCATTAACTTTTGCTGAGCTGATAGTCAACCTCTCCTGACGTAGGAAATTGAAGTCACCCTGATGCCAGCTATTCCTCTTTACCTGTGCTTTAGTCGGCTGGTTTCGGAAGGAGAGAAAAAAAGTAAGATTACCATAAACTTTATATTCAGGATCTTTCCTACATAAATTAAAAATAGCAGCAATTAGCTTCTGCATATTAGCATTCATTATACTCTACTTAAGGATAATAAAGCATCATGACAAGTCTGTCATTGGAACACTTCATATTATAGGATTATATTGAAAGATAGTCATTAGCGATTAGAAAAAAACATGAAAATTCATTTAATAACCATAGCATACATGATTCCAAATTATTCGCAGTGCTAAATATTTTTTAACAGTGCCAAATTTTAAAAGTCAATATATAAGAAATACTACAGAATACTGATATTTTACAATAAACCAGCATACTTATGTCATATTGGTATTTTGTTATATATTTTTTTCTACTCTATATCCCAGTGATTGAAACACATTGCTAATAATGATCATGTTCTATTTTATTAATGTGTATTATTTTCATGAATAAAAAGAGAATCACAATGTCTACAAACTAACCTGGAAATTCATCCTACAGTTTTTATTTACCCAGAAAAAGTTTGGCAACTATTAATGGAAGTTCCAAGATATATAATACATAAAACTAAGCCCCAAATTATTTAAGCATGAGCTGAAGAGAAAAGATTGTGAATTTACCCTCATGATATCACCATTCCACTCTTATTATTTGTCTGTAAACAAGACGTGGAAAGATTTCTTACATGGACAAAAACAATAATATAAACTACAGCCACTCTCTGAAAAGATTTTAAAAAGTAGCTTCTAGCTTTTTGCATCTTCCAAATTTTCTGAATTGTGACACATTCTATTATAATGGAGAAAAAAGCAACTAAAAAAAGGAAGTAGACAGGAGCTTATGTTGACATGGACCGAGATCAAGGGTGATTCGCTGGCCGGGCCGTGGTGAACCTGTTAGTGTTAGCCCAATCTGACAGTACTGTAAATCAGAACAGCCCTGCTGGAAAAGCAACCTGGCAGTGTGTTCATACTCCTGATCAAGTCCAGCGAGTTTATCTCAAGGGAAAAAGTTCAATAAAAAACAAAACCTCTAATATGCTTACTGCGGTGAAAACTTGGAGATGACCTAAATGTGTATCAGACATCAAAATTACGAATGTGAAAACAAGAAAATGTTTATATTACTTTAAAAACATAAATTGAGTGTTACTTAAAACTGCAACCATGAGATAATACATATGCATGGGGGCAGAGAAAAAAATAAAAAAATAAATTGGGGCAGTATGGTATTTATAAGGACTAGCCACATATGATGAGCACTTAAAATGCAAAACATCAAACTGAATTGTTAAAAATATAAAATAGTCCCAAATTTTAAGACTTAATGTGGAAAAATAATGTAAAATATCCCATTAAAAATTTTATGTTAATTACATGATAAAAATAATACTTTTGATATAGTGGGTCAAATAAAATATATCTTGAAAATAAACTTTACTTTTTTTACTCTTTGTCATGTGCCTCCTAGAAAATTTGAAATGACACAGGAGGCTCACAATATATTTCCATTGCACATTTCTCGTTATATTTTTAGAAAATTTTTTACATGAAAATAAGCACACATAAAAGGTGACTGCCAAAGTTGAATGTTTTGAAATAAAAAGAAGAGAAACCTGGTTTTTGTCAACTAATTGTGAGATCTTGGGTAAGTCAAAGACACACCACCAGTCTTTTGTTTTTAAAAAGGAATGAGGGAACAAAGGTCTTTAAAGGCCTGTCCAGTTAGGAGCACTGTGTAGATTTAAAGATCCTCCCTTCTAAGAGATTCTTCTAATAACTGACAGAAATCTGCCATTTCGCTGTTAAGAAGATACAATAGCATGGTGAAGTGACATTTTCTCTAGCCCTTCCCATTCCATCATGTCACAGACTTCTTCTCTGCAGAATGACAATGGACAGATAACATACCAAATTCTAGATTTAAGGTATTTTCTTTCCAGTTCTTGTAAGAGCCTAAGAGCCTACCATAGGGAGGTGAACATGTCAGTGCCAGAAGAAATAGCTTGGTCATAAATAGCTTGGTCAATATCAACACCTAAACCCAAAGACCATAATTTAGGATACTGTCAAAGACCAAAATCAAAAGCAAGTAAAAATATGAGGACTTACGAGCATAAGAACAGCTAACCAAGACTCACAAGTGTAGAATACACTCCAAGATTCTCCAGTTTTAAAACAAACAACTGCAAAAAACTCTGAAACAGTGAGTTTATCCTAAATTTTATTGTGAGTCTAACTTATTCTAAATGGTCAGAATCAAATACTGCAGATTTTTAAAATAATGTGATAGTGCTAAGTATTCCAAATTACGCCAAAGGATATCAATAAAAGATTCATGGATGAACCTTGGCATAGAGCCATAAGCCCCATCTGCAAGTCACACACTACATATTGTTTGCACGTGATTTGGTTTTCCTTAACCCTTGGAGGTGCACATTGGGATTTCCCCAAAGGGCTCCCAACACTGAAGGCTTATCTACCAACGCCAGTGGATTAATTGGGAATGGCATGCAGGGCTCTTGGGAAAAATGGTTCAGAACAGAACTGCCTGGGGCAATTTAATTTCTCATCTCAAAAAGGCTAATTTTCAAGTTATACAGAGGCTCAAATACACACACAATCTAAACTGTTCTCTCATCTGAAATCAAGGGTTATAGAAAGCCAATTAACATAGGCTTGCATTCCTTAAATTTAGTCAAAAATCCATACATAAGCTATTGTTTTTTATTAAGTTATATGACCATGGAAACTAAAACTTGTTTCTCTGAGCCATTGGTTTGCAAGAACAGGTCAAGAGGATAATCCATTCTCCTAGTCAATTGCAGGCTTCACTTAGCAAGGTATCATCCATCACAGGTCTATATGAATAGCATCATAATGCTTTGCATTATGCTAATGATCATGGTTACTTGTTTAGCAAAGGCATTTTAAACAGGCATGAAATTGCCATTGTTGAATATAGGGCATGAGAAGGAAGAAGAGAAAGAGGAGGAGAAAAATATAGCATTTTTTTTCCCAATGTAATGCATACATGTGTACTGAAGAAAAATCACAATAGCTAATTAACTAGATAGCCTACAAAAATTATTGAAAAATCAGTCAACAGAAATTTTAAAGCAGAATATCAGGGAAATTAGACATTTAAAAGTCCGTGCTATTGATATGAGTATTTATTAATATGAGTATTTCCTTTATCCATATTGAATATTTAGAGAGAAATGAAAACTTCAAACATAACTGGCTAAATTTATTTAATTTTAAGATATACCTAACACAGTAATCTGACATATGGTAGACATTCAATATGCATTTGTTAAATGAATACGAAACTAAACATCTCCAAATGTTTTAGATTAAAGATAACCATTTAATTAATAGCAACTAAAACAAGTAAAAAACTATTAGCAACTTGATCTCAGGTAACCAGCCTCAAAGGAAAAAAATCAGATCCCAAAAAGTAACTCATCTCTCAAATGGACAGGCCACTTGGTCGGAGCGGGAAGAGCTTCCTGGTTAATATCTGAGAACTTTTCTTCTTTTTAAATATGGAAGGAAAAAAATTGGCACCTCTTTCCATTACTTTAAGTAATCTGGGCTGAATAGTATTGATAATTAAAAAAAATACAAGGTATTTATGTTATTAGTTTTTTTAATTTTCCTACTAAAGTCATTCAAAGAAACATCACGAAGTAATAACTTGAGTCTGAAGTTCTCTCTTCGATTTGCCAAAAATAAATGTACAAAATGACATTTTCTTGTTACCAATAATGAGTGTGCACATCTACATATGGCGTTATGAAAATATGCATCTCGACACGCTCCCAGACAGTTCTACCTCAGACGGACGCACCAGCTGAGCCATCCTCCCAGGACAATTAACAGACTTTTAAAAAATGTGAAAATATTCCACATAGAGAGAATGACATACTGAGAAAAATGAAGGAAACGATTCACTCACCTGGCTGTTTTCTTTTATCCACATTGAGTCCACAGAACTAGACACATCTTTTATCAAGCATGTCACTGTAAATTCTTCCCCTTCCCTAAGAAGATAGCTTGCTTTGGACACAGACACAACTGGTACAGCTCTGATAGCTAAAATAAAAAGAAATGTGACCCTCAAATAATTTGTTTTAATATACATGACATTTTAACTTATCATTTTTCCCCAAATGTACACAGCTTATTTCATCTTCTTTTAAGCAAAACGTAAAGTATGGTACTAACCTATCTGTATTACCTGCATATCTGAAGACATCAGCAATTAAATCACGCATCCTTCAAGTAAATTCACTAATACTGAGTGAAAAAGACAGGAATGTCCACTTTGAGATTCTAATGCTCCTGGACAATGCTATTTTGAAACAGGTAGAATCTCTGGCATCGTGAAGTGGCTTTAATCTTTACCTCACACAACCTGGATGGTTTCATGAGGACGTGGCCTACAACTAATCATATTCTTGTAACCAAACAGGTATCTTTCCCAAGCACTTTAAAAATAGATCTTTCCCAAGCACTTTAAAAATAGATCTTGCTTGTTTCTGAAAATCCCAGGTCTTAAATAATCAAATTTTCCTTAATTCCAAAGAGCATACTTTTTCAAAACTCTTAATAAATACTATTCAATCGCTGAATGCCAGTTGGGATCGAATGAGATAATCTCTGAGATAGAAAATCTAGATATCCTCCCGCTACTAAAACAGCCTACATAACGCCACAATAATAACAAGGTCCACAATCAGTTGGTGCATTAAAATAACTAAGGAGAAAGTCAACTCATGTATCAATAATAAACCAAGGAATGAATAATCCTTGTAGATTTACATGCTAAACTTTTCAAATAGCATAACTAAAGCTTCCCAATGGGTTTCTCTGGAAAGGAACACTTTGTGCAATTATGAAACTTTGAGGTGTACTGGAGCCAGTAGGTTTAACAACTGTCCCCAGTCCCAGCTAAATGACAATCTATGGTAGACACATCCAGCTGGAGGCAGATGTGGACTGGTCTCATGGGGTTGGGACTGTGAAATAAAGAATTCACAAGCAGCCAACATTATTTTGAAGCTGGGGGATTGAAGAGCCAGCTGCCTAAGGTGGACCAGTGCAAAGATAAGTTGTCTTCAGATCAAGGAATGCTCTGACTCCCAGAAGAAAGTAAGAAAGGGCCTGTACCTGCCCTCACTTTCAGAGAGAATTTCTTCGACAGCACCGACTTGCCCTTCTTGTCCGCAGAGCAGTGTAAGCAGAGCCGATGATACTCGCGCTTCACATTTCTGATCGTGATGCCAGCCTTGGGATCAGCGACAAACGTCAAGTCCTTGGGAAGAGGTTTCCCCTCGCATCCCATGAGGGAGTAATTGGTCACTTCTGGGTCAGTCAGAGGACAGCGAACGAGTGTATCATTGCCTTCTTTCCCATACAAGGGAAGGTCAATGAGGAAAAGCTTTGCAGGATCTATAGCATATTAAAAATCAGTAGTTTAAATGGCTGGTCGCAGGCACTAAAACATTTTTAAAAGTTCAAAAATGTTACCTTTCATAACAATTCCTAGTTGCTCAAATGGCTATTGACTTTTTTCTTTGCAGGCAAAAGTAGAATTTATCCAAATAATACTACAAGAATTTATCCAAATAATACAAGTAAGAGTTAACGTTTACTGAACACTTTTCATGTGTCAGGCACTAAGCTTGGACCACTACACACTTTATTTCTTTTGCTCCTCAAACCACTCCTATGTGAGGTGCACAATCATTATCCCCATTTCATAGATGAAGAAGCTGAAGTCTCAACAAAGCGACTCTCCTGAGGTGACATGGCCCAGAAATGAATGTGCAGAATTCAAACCCAGGTCTGAATGGTACCACAATTTGAGCTCTTAAAACTCTGAGAATATTTTATTACAACCATTACTCCTTTTCTGCAACAGGTAATAGTTCAAGAAGCATGGGTCAAGAATAATCCACCTGATGATACTTGTTAGGGTCAGGGAAAGGTCTTCTTCCCCTAACCCCTCTGTGTGGGCCCTTTTCAGAGTTCTCAATCTCCGGGATCTTTCAGCTTCTGGATAGAATCTAGAAAACTATCGACAGGCCACCCAGTATAAATAATATGTGGGCCTCACTCTATTCGAATTCTTTGAAAGTTATGTTTAAATATAACTTCTGGAAATCAAATAATTTCAAATCCACAAGGGGAGTTTATAAGTTTCAGGCATGCCGTGGCAAATGATTTATCGTCTAAACTAGGACCCTTGTGAGTGAAAGGGGGTATTATTAATAATTATGCCGGGACACCAGGTGTGGATTGGGAAAGCCTCAGGCAGACTGGGACCCTGTGTAAACACAGACAAACCTCCTTGTGTATACACAATATGCTGTTACCCTCTGCTGTATAAAGATAATATAGATATACTGTTGGGACAAGAGATTACATCTAAAATTTGTTTTTTGATCGTCCTTTCCAGCTGGAAAGTTGGTGTTCCACAAAAATCAATTTAATATAGTTAAAATATACTTCTTACCATTTAATTGTGACCAATTTTGAAATAGTTTTCCAAAATGAATTATGCACTTCCCAGCCTTACATTTATTCTGCGAATAAATTACTTCACAATGGGCGAACTATGCTCCAAGTCCAGAGGTGGTTATTTTTCCATCTACTCTTTCTCAGTCGCTCGAGTCTAGCTCCTACAATAATCCCTGACTTCCTTCGTTGCTATAACATAGATTATGTAAGTACCCAAACATGTTAAATAAATAATTAAGTATAGTTTTAAGTTATTGAGGATGACTTCCTCTATAAAGAAAATTCGTGAGCACTGTGAGACTGATTTGACTAATTCAGCAGTTTTCCCCATTTAGTCAGGTGTCTGCCCATCCTGTTAATAAACAGAATGATTCTTATTACCATTGGGAAATTACAGTATACTTCTGAATGTCAAAGAATAGCACACAGGTTGGCTCAACAATTATGAAACTATACCCAGAGGCTAAGCTGTGGCCTATCAAAGTGTATATCTTTTCAGCTACCCACCTAAGAAAGGACAACACATAAACTAAGGAGAGGCAGTCAATTTCATGGTAACCTTTATAGCAAAGGTGAGTCAACTTTATTAACCCTTAATAGAGCTAGAATTTACACAATTCTATCTCCCAAATAACAATTATGTAAACAAGACAGAGCAGGTAATCTTAACCAAATGTTGCAGTGAGGAACTAAGACTCTTGAGGTTGCTCAGATTTACAATGTGGGATAAATTTACTCATTAATTATTCCACAATACCATGGACGAAGCATCCTACTCATGCTTGTTTCAATGACAGCCCCAGTCAAGACACGAACCCAGGATGAGAACTAGGCCTCTACTTCGCCTCCTGTAACCTGGCTGGTTCTCTTAAGCTTCAAGTACTTCAGTTTTTACATCAACGAAAAGGTACTCCTCTCCAATTCCCCCCACCTCACCCCAGCAAACCACCTCTAGAGAAAGATATTAAAAGCACAAATGCAGATGCATCAATGAATTCAACACAGGAAATGAAGTACAGAAATCCAACTACCACGTTTTTCTTTTGTTTTTAAGAGGTCACAATTTTTTGAATGAATCAACCGACATCTATAAAGAACCTAGGAAAGACAAGGATACTTTGCTGATTGAGTTATTTTTCTAAGTTTACTCCCTAAAAGTGGGTCAATTCTTTTGAAGTGTTGGTCTGTTTAGGCCTTTAGAGATCTTTAGTTCCCTGAAGCATTTTTACTAAGTGGGAATATCTGAGATCTCAAGGCATTAAAATGCAGCCTTCCCAAAGGACCTAATTTATTCTCAGAGTTTACTCAGAGCAGCAGGACAAATGGGCTAACCATATTGTAATCTCATTATGAACAGCGTCACAGCCTTGCAGACCTTCAGCTGGAGTCATACCCAAAGCCACAATGTATTAAAAGATAGAGAATCTAACAAAGAAAAATTTATTTTAGGCTTTCTATACCAAGTCAGTAATATTTTACCTATGGCTTAGTCATCTATATGTCATCCATAATTAAGAACAGGATATTAAGATCTCTAAAGCATAGCATCAAAGAAAGCTGAACACTTACCTCTAACAAACACGTAAATGGAACTGCTTAAGCCGTCCTTATTGGTGCATGTGTAATTGCCTGTATTGGTGGCCTCTGCTTTCTCCATGACCCATTCATTGTATGTTTTCTCACTCAATTGACCCAAGGTCTCAAAAGTCCATTTGACAAATCCTGGATCAGTGCACAACAGCCTAATCTCATCGCCAACACTGACTCTTAACTCTGATTCTGCTGGATGGATGGATGGTGGAGATAGTTCCCCTGGACTCACAGATGGTTGAGAAGAGCCTGCCAAGAAAAATGAGAATCGTGTTGAGTAGGATCTTTTTCCTTGGCGAAATAAAGCATTTCTTCCAATATTGATTTCCATCTTCTGTGTACTCTACAATAAAAATAGGACAAAGCTGCCCTGTTATTTATAGTTAGAAAGTGTTCTGTTTAAAGTTTCTTAAGTTCATCTATAAAATTAAGTTACTTTCTGCAACCTTTTATTAATCCTTGGTGTGCAAGCCAAGACTTGCTGGATGCCATGACCTTCTCTGAGTTATAAAGCTAGGTCAAGTTTCCTTTCTGAATATGGGCCATTACAATGGTACTGTCATGCTGACATCCAGCTTAGAAACAACAAAAACAAAACCTCACACTAAAAAACTATTGGCCTATGACTCTTTTGGCAAAATGTACATGACCATGACATAGCTTGGCTTTTTCTTAAAGCTTTGTGAATTCAATTATTTCTATGCAGTTCTCCGTATACGGTGATATTCATCAAAAGAACTATTTAGGAGTTCAAAACACTAAGGCAGAAAATGAAAATCCCATTTTAAAGATCAGGCCACGAGATATTTCATGGCATATGCTGGGTTGCAGCCTGATCAACCTAATGCCTAGAAAGTTTTCCTAGGTAGAAAACTAGATTAAAGATGCAAATTTCAGGCTCTGAATACAAAACGTGAACCTTAGAAAATTCACAACAGCCAATTCATTCACTCGTGCATCTGTTGCGTGAATGCAACATTCATTCATTAATTATGATCTTATGGTCTACAAAAGCATCATCCAAGGTGCTAGGGGGAAGTCCAATAAGTGTGACACGTGATCCTGATACATAGCCTGACTCCGGGGCTTCAGGAACTCATTGCTCAAGTGTCAGAATAAGTGAAACATAACTACAAGATTTAGGTTTAAGCTGAAGAAAAAGTAAGAAATGGCCTGGACCTAGATGGTATCAGAAAAGGCGGAAGAGAAGACAAAACAAGAAAAGAGCTGGCACACAAGGCATTTGGAGCTATAAAGAAACCAGCCTGGATGGAAATAGGGTTCCTTGTGGAGACCATGAGAAGTAAGATTAAACAGGCTAAGTAGGATGGAACCTGATCATCCAGAGCCCTGAACATCTGGTATAAATATCTGAAATATACAATAGAGACCATGTAGAAGTCACCACAGGTTTTTCAGTAGAAGAGAGACATGCACAGGAAGATATCAGAGATCAGCTAGATTCAAGGAGATCAGTGAAAAGCTCTGGTCCTCAGAGAGGCTAAAGCAATAAAGAACCCATAGTAAGGATTTGAGACTAAAGAGAAAGATCTAATATACTGTCAGAGGAAGAATATGTTAATGATTATAGGGAATAGCATAATCAAAAATACAAAAGGTTGACTCATGGATGACCTTGGTGAAGGACAGAGAATAAAAGGTCCCTTGGTGAGGTGGGCTGGGACAAGAGGAGAACAGAATTCCCTAGGGGACTTTCAATCACTTCTTCAGTTTCATGGACGAAATGGCTCATGTGCATAGGATGTGTGCCTCCTCTCCACACATTCTCTACATGGAGAAAAGAACTAACCAGAGCTGAAGGAGGAGTAAAAGCCTTCAGGCCAGGTGGAGAAAGGGGCTGGTGGGAGGAAAAGGCAGCAAGAGGCAGGTATACCAGGAAACTCTCTGCAAGTTCAGGCTGGCTGGGGCGGGGACGGGTGAAGTGGGGGATGGAGACATGGTCAGAAAGGGACTGGGACAGGAAAGTAGATGGGCTTCTCACCTGCAACCTGAACTTCAGATAGTGGAGGCAGAGCAATAATGTGTGAAGTTAAAAGACTGAGATCAGATAATCAAGGGGAAGGGTTTTTGGGAAAAAGAGGAACACACTGAGTACCAATCTTGGAGAGTTCCTCCAGCTAAAAGGGCATAGGAACGAGTCAAGCCAGACTTAGAGACTTAAAAAAAGAAAGAAAGGAAAAAAAAAAAAAAAACCAGAAAGGAAGGCAACAGATCAGAGTTTCAAAGAGAAGGTGGGTGGGTCCTAGGGCAGATGCTGAACAAGATCAAAGGGAATGAACAAGTCTTCAAATTTGGTTAGAAAGAGACCACAGGAAATCCAAGAGTACAATTTCAGTTGAGTGGGAATTTCTGTTTGCTCCAAAGTTAAAGGCTGCAAGTGTCAACCTCTCCATGAAGAGCTATCGCAGGAGATGACAGAGAAATAGATCTGTAGTCAAACGAGGTTAAAAGTTAAAAAAAAAAAAAATTAGGAGACCTGTTGACATTTGAAGATAGAAGAGTCTGTAGAGAGGGACAGATGAATATGGTCTAAAGAAGAGCTGAAATTGTCTCCTGCAGGTATAGTCTCAATTCCAGTTTGTTATCCAGACAAGTATTTATTTCATCTGAGTACCTTTCAACCATGACATCAACTGTGCCTCCATGATGTCACGCAAATCACAGCCCAGATCACAAGACACTCAGCAGCCTTGATTCATGGAAGACAACAATAAAGTCAATTATAATCATCAGATGTTATTAAGTACCAACAACAGGAGAAGTGCTATAAATGAGATGGTTTGTGCCCTGTAGGCTCAACATCTAAATGGAGCAGCCAGAATATGGACATGAAGTGGTTGCGATTATTTTCAAAGTCATACAGAATGTATGGGCACAGCAATAGAGACACTATTATTTCAATTATTTATCCCCTTTAAAATGAGAGTAGTTCCAAGTGAATATTAGTGACATTGACAGTAAAGACAATCCAAAAATTGTTAAAGAATTTATGTTACAGTATATTCCAATCAATTCAATTTTCTCACAAGTGGATCTTAAGGGCATATGTAGATACTGCAATCCAGAACAAATATTGCTGACTTCCAGGCACCTATCACACCAATGTAGGTAAGGCCTAGCTGTGTGACTTAAGGCAGGCCATTCGACCTCTCTGTATCCAAGTTTCCACATTTGAAAAATTATGTTAAAAATAGCTTCATCTCACAGAATTCTTATGGGAATCAAACACAGTAAATACATGCAAGGAGCTTAACATAGCTCTAGGCAGTTTTTAAATGCTAGCTAGCTATTATAGAGAAGCAGTAAAGCATAGTAGGTGGAAGCTTGACTCTTGACTTAAAGCTGTCTATATTTGCATCCTGGCTCTGCCACTTAATAAATGTGCAACTCTTAGGTGGTAACTAATCATCTCTGCCTCAGTTTCCTCATCTGTAAAGTAGAGACAAAGCAGCAACTATCTCATAAGGCCATTACATAAGGCACTCAGAACAGTGCTTGCACACATAGAAAACACATAAAAATATTAGACACATATTTTCAAAAACAGAACTTTTTGTCACAACTCCCATCAGTCTTGACTTACTGACTTCCTGTAGATGTGAATGATTCCATCATTTCCTAAACACTCCTGTCTGACTTCTCCCTTCTAGCAATCTTTCCTGTGGAGCCTCTGCCACACTCTGCTGTCTGCCTTTCTACTCCTGCTGCCCCACTCCAGACTTCCATTTAACACTTAGCATAGAGATAACATTGTCTCCTAAAAGGTGTCCATTCCTTCAGCCTCCACTCACCCCACCCCCAACTCATCCTACTCATAATCCTGAGCTCCAGCAGCCTAAAGCACCACCTTTTCAATAACTTCACTCCCAGCCTCAAAAAACTAACGGAAGCAGCAGCAGTTCACCCTGATATCAGGTACAGCACTTTCATGGGATTCATTTCTAGCTATTCTGTCTGGACCCAACCTGCCTCTCCAATAAGAAACACCTTTAGGTTGGCTAAGGATCCTGCAAACATTCTTCATTCCTTGGTATACTCATTTTTCTGCCCATGTCTCCAGGACACACTTACTCCACCAATTCGCCTCTTTGTCATGTAGAAAGCCCAGCCCAGTCTTCATGGATGTTGCTCCCAAACCACTCCAGGTCACAATCACCTGTCCTCACAAAATCTCACCAACATGTCCAACCCCAGCAACCATGTGGCTTGTACTGATGCTCGACAGTGGTCTTCATCTAAATCTTACTTCCCCTCTACCTCCTCTAAGGTCTTCGAGCCCTCAGAGTAAGAATCCTAAATTATATTTTTTCCCCTAGCGTAGTCATAAAAACATTCTCTTCAATCCCTGAACATATAAAAGACTGAAGGAAGGACAGGTTCCTAAACATCCAGCCCCTATAACAGATGTCCTATCCTCGAAAAGAGGTCGGATGTCAATTCTGTTGAATGTACTAAGAAAAGGGAGGTTTAATTTACCCACTAAAACTACTATGGCTACCTACAAAAAAGGAGCCTCCAAATTTCAGTTCATTAGTTTATGCCTTACTACTAGAGTTTTAAAAGATAAACTTTTTAAATCATTACCATCAGAAGCATTCAGGGTTTTATTTTCAAAATGAATTATAAGTTCAACCTTCAAAGTCACATTATAAATGAAAATAGAACTTATATTAGAGTGGGACTATGGGTACTATTTATTTTCTTTTTTCCAAACTATCTTGAATGTTGTTATAATGTTCTCACAATAAAAAAAAAAAAAATTAGATTAATGTTAAAAGGTGTATGTGTATTCATATATACCTGTCTTTATTATATTTAAAATTCAATACCAATAAAGTATTCTAACTGAGCTTTGAAACTGCTCTGAAACTACACATTTTGAAATATGGTACATAGCAAATTCTCAATACATGTTTGTTGAATTGGGTTTTATCTACATCAGGATTCTTTGCATTAGAAAATGTACTTCACTAATTATGTTTGGCTAAGGCTGATATTAACAGTTGTTTTCTGTCCCCTGAACACATGTTAATTTATGAGCCAAGAAAAAAAAAAAGACAGCAAACCCAACATTCTGGGGATCAAATACTAGAGTCGATGATGGCTCCTGGCTAGGAACTCCAGGAACTATTCAGCAAATATTTATCTCAGGTACCCTTGTAAGTGTTGCGCCTAGAAGACAGTCCTTGTACTCAAAGGGCATAAACGAGGGAGGACAAGGGCACTTA